GGAGTTTTCTTAAAACTGAGCAGTTTAGCCTAACTCGTTAAAGTAAAGTAAAATTAAAAAGGCTCTGAAGGGCTCAAGTAGAAAGAAAACGTTTTTAAAATGACACGGCAACATATGTACAAAGGTGTTTGACTGGATGGATGGATGGATGGATGGATGGATGGATGGATGGATGGGTGGATGGGTGGATGGGTGGATGGGTGGATGGGTGGATGGGTGGATGGATGGATGGATGGATGGATGGATGGATGGATGGATGGATGGGTAGATGGGTATAGGTGGATGGGTGGGTGGTGATAAAAGCTGTATGAGCCCCCAATAAAATCAGTAAAACATAAGACCGACACAACAGCCTGGGAGCCCATGGGGGCAGTGCCACCCTGCCCCATGGGCTCACTGTGCATCAGCATCCACTTGATGGCCGGGGTATTTTGGAGACGTGAGGTGGCTGCCTCAAACTCAACTGTCCTGCGGCAACAGGGGCGACGGTCACATGTGGTGGCTACAGAACACGGGAGCTGGAGCCTGGGGACCGATGGCATGGCCTCTTCCTCGCTCTGCATTTACGGCCAGATGCAACCATCCCCGCATGCTTCAACTGAGGACTGCACGCACCATTCCTGAGGCTTCTCCTGCTGTTTCCTGTATGTCGAATGCTAACATGGGCCCGCTGGGCCGCCTGAGGGGCACAGCCGGCACACGGCAGGTGGTTAGTGGGCGTTTGCTGATCTGCACGGGGCTGCTGCCCTCATGCCAGGGTGGGCACAGGGAACAGCAGCCCAGGAGAAGCCACTGACCTGACGCAGGAGCAGAATGGGCATTTTTCACAGGAGAAAGGTGAGACACTGGGCAGAGAGCCTGAATCTGGGTCATGTCCCCCAGGGGGGCTCAGAGCAGGGGCCCCAGAGGGCCTTGGGAGCACTCAGTCTGTCTTCCAATGCTGGGTGCATGGCCTTGAGCATGGTTGGAAGGTCATGTGGATGAGGGTAAATGGCACCTGCTGCGTCTGTCAGCAGCCAGGACGGCTGCCCCTGTGTCACCATGGCCCCCACGTGCTGTCCCTGGGCAGTTCTGGGGGGAAGCAATGACCCGATGGATGATGACCAAGACCCTAGATTTAGAACTCGGAGATGCCGACCCCCACTCCTCCCTTGGACACAGGTGAGGCTGCTGTTCAAAACTGGCCAGAAGAGATCATGGTCTCATGACCTATCTGCCAAGCTATACCTGTGCACAACTGCCAAGCCACTGAGCCTCCCGGCCCAGCTAAGCTCACGCCTGAACTTAACCGTCACAGCCCACACAACCTTACAGCTCAGCGCTCACAACTGCCAGACCTAAGTCATCAATGCACAAAATGGTCAGTGAGTCGGCTCGTAGCCATCCTAGTCGATGCAAGAGTGCCAGATAAGGAGCTTGTCATTAAACAGGGAGTGGGTGTGTTCCAACCCTAACCCTCAACTTTTGGTCGTGTGTGTGTGTGTGTGTGTGTGTGTGTGTGTGTGTGTGTGTTTACATATCCATTTGCTAAACTCAAACTCTATTCTTCCCAGAGAAGGGAAAGGGCATACAGGGCACAGTAATGCCTGCTAGTGTTCACAGACGCACACCACCATCACCAGCATCATCACCAGCATCACCAGCAGCAGCAGCGTCACCATCATCAGCAACTTCAACAGGACCATCATTCCCACCGTCACCACCACTGTAATCACCACCACCATCTTCACTATCACCACTGTCACTACCATCATCACCATCATCACGGGGCAGCTGTGAAACATTGATTCTCCACATCGCAAGCTGTAAGCGTCTGTTGGGAGGAGTGGCAAGACACAGCTCCATCACACTGACGAAGCGTGACACACTGGCAGACAGAAACCGCCAGTCACGCACGGCCTGTGGGCGCCGCACATGCGCCCGCACACACTGCTGCATAGACACTGCGCACAGGTCTACCCCAGGCTTCCACGCAGAGACTGAGCAAGCTCCTCTTTACACATGACCTATAGGCACGTGTGTTTACACTCGGCACACACGTCTGCATACAATGCAGCGCACATGCCGTGCACACGTGTCGGTCACGGGCTGCCATGCAGACACTGCCCCCGCACGTCCCGAGAAGCTGAGAGGCTCTGCACTCACGGGGCAGGGTCTCCCCGGAGCGCCAGCTCTTGGCAATCCCCGTGGCTCAAGCTGCAGGAGCCACGAGCTCCTCTTCGCTCGGCTCACAGAGCCACGAGCTCCTGGACAGGAAGAGCTGCCCCGCCTTGGCCATCACTTCCTGAACGCTTTCATCATGGCAAACCTTTCATCAGGAAGGGAGACGTGGGAAACTTTTATCAGGAGAAAAACTGGAGTCATTTTCCTGGGATGGATGAAGGCTGTAAGTACGTGTTAAGCCGGCTTGCAGGTGGAGTACGGGACTCTGCTCAGAGCTGAGAGTCCACAGCCCACGCCACTTCCAGTCCCTCCCTCCAGCCCCATGATCCCGTTGGGTCCACTGCCTTCTGTCTGCAGCTGTCAATCAGTGACCTCCCTCCCCTGCCATGCAATCATCCCTTCAGCATCTTCCCTTGCCTTGAAGGGTGAAAAATGGGCTCAAACAGACCGCTGGTGACTGCTTCTCCCTTCCTCCCTCTCACCTTTCTGGAGGAGAGGAGAGCCCAGTCTGTCCTGCTGGAAGGAATGAAATGGGAGCTAGGCTGTGGGTGTGCAAAGGGGCGGCCCAGCAGCCCTGAGGAGCACGTCCATTCTACAGGGGCCCTGTGGTGGTCCCCAGTGGAGAAAGGTGGATGGGGGGGCAGTTTGAGGGCGACGTTGCAGGTGAGAGCAATGCATGATCCAAAAATCACCTGCCAATGTTCATGACCTGTGGCTTCCTGGGCCTGGAACTGGAAACCTCACCACTGATGCCTCCAGCAAAGGATGGCTGTGTTTCACAACGGGCCTGGCAGGGCACGCTCAAGGGGAATGTAACAAAGAGTAAGTGCTGAGACCCTGCTGGGGACTGAGCATGACAGTGGGACAGGAGGAGAGTCAAGGGAAATAGAGGAAAGAGCTGGGAGGCAAAGGGCATTTATAGAGGTCTAGATAAAGACATGTACATATG